CTTCATTCCTTTAATTCATTTTCCTTCATAAAATTTCACTTATTAACATAAAAGACAAAAGTTTAGAATATAATTTTTCAAAAAAATCATCAAATATCGCTATTTAAGGTACCAAATAAGTGTATAAAATACACTTATCACATAACGATAATGTTTCTTGTCAATCATATGGATCCAGTCCAAGCCCCCGAAGATCATTTCCATCCAGACACAAACTAAGACAAGTATATACTTTGACGATAGAGGTTTGCATGCCATCTCTCCTTGCACATAATCATGGGATACAACATAACATGAACACTCAATAAACAATTTTCAATTGTTCCAAACCAAATAAAGTATGTGCCAAATAAAAGATCACGTGGATAACACTTGTGTGAGACAGAAGCTAATTTCTAGGGTAAAAGAACATATTCCATTTAAAAATGCTCGTCATTTTATCCAATTTACGTGTGTCCACTTGTATAAGATTTGTACTAGTCGTCTTGAGTGTCATCATGTGTGTGTCATGTTGTTAGTAAGCTTGCTAACTAAGAATATGCATTAACATAGTAATAAGTTTAGATTATATTATAGGTGACCATATATACTCTACAGGGGCAAGACAAACAGACACCTGTTCTCGACTAACTTACTTCCCTATATACTATAAAATATAATTCCACACAAGCTCGTATGAAACTTCCTTAGTAAAACCTCTCTAGTGGTTGCACATCCTGTATGGTAAAATATTGGGGTCGGGCCATTCGTTCACCATCCATTTAGTTCATAGAATAATTAGGTTCATAAAAAAATTAGGACAGCATAAACACCTTTCAATATCTGGGTATAGGTGAAAATCTTGTGTCTCCAGTGCTTTTGATATGTGGTTGTCTTGCAAAAGGTCCTCTGCGATAGAAATCTCAAGGCCAGAAGATATCTGTTATACTTTATCTTGTTCCATGAGCTAATAGTACCTTGAGGTTTTTTATGCTTTAATGCCTCGGCTTTGTGCTTTGATAATGTGATACGATTAACTAAAATGCTCCTTAAATTGGAAATAAAATTGGACTTCAAGAAACAGAAAGAGGAACTATTATCCTTGAGTTCAATCACAGATAACATACAACAATCAATACAGGAAGTATTGAAACTGACAATATAAATGGTTGAAGAGGAGTTGAGTAGCTCCAGTAGATTTGATAGCTTCAAGAAGAGAAGAAATACAATCAGTAGACCTTTTGGTGACAAGAGAAGTGCCAAGTGTCCTCAAAGAGAGATCAAGATGGGCCAAACTCTGCTTAAGCCACTACCTTGACACCCTTTCGGGATGGTAATGCCCTTCTTCCTCAGGTGCCCATATAAATAATGCCACCACTGCTCCTGCCCTTACTCCGGCAGCTAATTCTGGATTATCTTCCACTCTCAGATCTCTCCTAAACCATACAATACTGCATCCCCCACCTGGCATCCCTTAAATGTTTGAAAAAATGCCACAAAGAGCAAAAGCACTTTCTATCTCAGCTACCTACAAGCCATTATTGAAGCTTCATATGGGCTTTAACTAGTCTTATCCTTTTTGAGTG